TTCTCCAGAACCAACCTCAAGTGAGTCGCATGCTCCTCCTGACTCCTCGAGTATACCAGAATATCATCAATGAAAATGATGACGAACACATCTAAATACTCCCTGAACACGTCGTTCATCAATCTCATGAAGGCTGCCGGCGCGTTAGTCAAACCGAAAGGCATAACCACAAACTCAAAATGCCCATAACGCGTCCTGAAAGCAGTCTTCCTGACATCTGCCTCATCTATCGGGATCTGATGATACCCCGATGCCAAGTCAATCTTGGAGAACCAAGTAGCACCCCTCAACTGATCCAGTAACTCATCAATCCTCGGGAGTGGGTACATGTTCTTCACAGTGACTCGGTTAAGACCTCTGTAATCAATACAAAGTCTGAAACTGCCATCCTTCTTCTTCACAAACAACACCGGTGCTCCCCACGGTGAAACACTTGGTCGAATGAACCCCTTAGACAAAAGGTCCTCGATCTGCTTTTTCAGCTCTGCCAACTCAGCTGGCGCCATCCTGTAAGGCGTCTTCGATATTGGTGCTGTCCCCGGCTCTAACTCAATCGTGAAAGGATCAGACCGAGATGGTGGTAATCCCTTCAGTGACTGAAAGACATCCTCAAAATCCTGGACAACCTCAATATCTCCCATAACAACTCCAGCTCCTGACTCAGACATAGAAATCGTCGCCAGATACGCCTCACAGCCCCGCACTAACAACTGCTCGGCCTGAATAGCAGATATCACAATACTCCCGGAAGTCGGTCTCACTCCCTGATAAACCAACCTCCCTGCATCTCGCTCGAAGACCACTCTACCTCTGTAGCAATCCAGATGAACTCTGTAGTGTGACAACCAGTCCATCCCGAGAATAACGTCATACAGCTCCACCGGACTGATGACTAAGTCTGCTGGCATTGACTGCCCCGCAATCTCGATCTCGACTCCTCTAGCACGGCCCAAAGTAGACAAGAATCCACCTCCCGCCACCTTGACCATGCCCGCGCTCTCGCCCGCGCTACTCCGGATGCCACTCTTCTCGGCACGCTCCGGTGTAATGAAGCAATTCGATGCTCCAGAGTCGAATAAAACGTGGGACTCAAAACCGCCCACTAACAAGGTCATTACGAAACACATGCGCTGAGAACCTCAATAATTTAATCACAGATAAATGAACAACACGCAGCAAAAACAACCGTTATGCCCTCGATGGCCCGCCACCACAAATGTGCATCTTCTCTCAGATAGTGGACTGCCAACTCAACCTGGTACTAAACCAGAAATCTGATAGACTGGAAATTCCACTCCAATCTCTGACGCCACTCATCTGCCGCCTCTGGGCTAACTCCGCCCTCAAAGTACGGCATACCAATCCTCTGCATGTGCCCCAACATATCCAAGTAGGACGGCACCAACAAACCCACAGTCTACGGCTGAACAAATCCAGCAGCCCTCTGCTGCACCTCTGCCACTGGAGGTACTCCTGGAGCCCCTTGTGGAACCACTGGCGGAAAACGAGCCAATAACTGCGTCAGCAAACCCACCACTAAGTCATCAAGACCCTGAGCCAGAGCACCACCCCAACCCGGAGCAGCCTCCGCTCCCAAACCAACCCTCGCATCCACTCTGGCCTCACTCGCCACGGATACCGACTAGGTCACCGACGCAATCGCCACACACGGCACCACACTCTCTCCCGAATCCGCCGGAGTCCACAATCTCGGCCCCGACCTCCACGGCCTCAAGCTCCGTGCCCTCTCGCGCCACCACCTCTAGCTACTCACTCTATCTCACTCATGGAACCGAAAAGAGCACACTAGAACACGCAACCAAAACTCAAAACAAACATAAACTCACCGCGGAATCTCTTGTAGCTGAAGGGGATGATACTAAGCCTAGCAATTCTAGCTGTCCTAAAACCGTCTAGGCTCTGATACCAAAATGAAACAACCAACATTTTTTTTTTTTTAATAAATATTAATCAGTTCTAGCGAAGGTCTTAAAAATAAATTAAATAAATAAAATATCAATAACAAATAAATCAGCTCAGCGGAAGCAAATAATAATTAAACAAGTCTAGCAAAATAATGCAAAACAATAAAACAGTAAACATCCTATCATCCCCCTCTTCAGCCTTGATTCCGCGATCACACAAATCTTTTACCTGCAACACATTGGAATGGAGTTGCGTAAGTATTTAATAAATACTTAGTGAGGCAATCACTCTGCCTACGAGCCATTTACGCAATTTACTAGATATTTAATAATATTTATAAACTTCAATAATTATTAAATACCATTTTCCAATTATTAAATAATTTTAATAATTAAAACTCAATTTCTCAATTATTAAATAATTCTCATAATTAAATAATAATTTTCCATATTTTAAAATAATTAAAATAATACCAATTAATTAAATAAATATTATTTAATTAATTAAATCCGAATTAAATCTATTTAATTCCATTAAACCAATTAAATTCAATTAAACCAATTAAATTCAATTGAACCAAGATAAACCAGAATCAAATCAATTAAATTCAATTAAACCAATAAACCAGATTAAACCACACAAACACACAATTCATCACATGAACAACCAAAATATCATAAAAATAACAATTAAAACATAAACTCATCAAGAACAACCACAAACCAAATCTAATCTAGCAAATCACGGACCCACAGTCATGCACTCACCTTGACAATTGACTGAAACTGAAGGAAAAAGGAAGGACGATGAACAGTGCCGAATCGCGGATGAACAGTAACCCGTGAACAGTACCGATGAACAGTAACCCGTGAACAGTACCGATGAACAGTAAAATTCGAAAATCTCTCCAAAAACTCAACTTTTCTCCTCTACAGCATCTGAACTCGAAAATTCTCCAAAGAGAAGACGGCTGCACTCTTTAAACTTGATTTTAGGGCTTTCTCCACTAAACCGACCCAAACCAATTCACTTAAATTGAACCGACAAAATTCCCAATTTTTATTTTTGGTTTATGGATGTTACAACTCTTCCCCACTAAACTGGATTCGTCCTCGAATCCCAACGCAAACGTCACAAAGACCACAAAACCCAACCTCGCAAGGCCGCAACACCGGAGATCCTCACTTGATCCCCGAGACAAACGTCATATCTTATGTCATAAACACGTTCCAAGAAAATTTCACTCCTAACTCATCATCCAAACACACCAAACAACTTGTACTGAGGCCCACTTGCACCCAGACAAGTCCACACCGGTCCGCACTGAGGCCCACTTGCACCCAGACGAACCCGAAAACGTCCATACTGAGGCCCACTTGCACCCAGATGAACTAAACTGCTTATACTGAGGCCTACTTGCACCCATATAAGCTACACTCAACTGAGGCCTACTTGCACCCAGAGAGTCTGCCAGAGAACGAAGTCTCCAAAAACATGATGAGTTATTCAGGATCGCAATCCTTAGAGTAAAAATTCCGGAAAATGTCTATAACCATAAGATTAGACCGTCTCACAACCAAAAACTGGTCAAACATGTGTAACATCCGAATACCTTTTCACAACACAAGGCAAAATGAGGAAAAACTGCATCTCATTAAAACTCCAAAATGTAAATCGTTACAACGAAAACGAAAATACAATAACACCAAAGCCAAAAATAACAACTGAGGCTACAAAGATGAAATAAGCTCACTCCTCGACCTGCTTGTCGAACCACTTCCTGAACTTCAACTTCATCTTTGCCTCTGGCTCCCAAGTCTCCTCTGTAGAACCACTGCAATCCCACAAAATCCTAAGTAAGGGAATCCTCTTGTTCCTCAGAACCTTTTCCCTCCTCTCTAAAATCCTCATAGGCACTGCCGGCACGGTCAAATCTGGCTGAAGATCCTCTGGAATCCTAGCCACTAACTCCTCTGTAGGATGAAGACACTTCCTCAGCATCGACACATGAAAAACCTTGTGAAAGGCTTTCATAATCTCAGGCAACTCCAGCCTGTAAGCTAATGGCCCAACTCGCTCCACTACTGGAAACGGACCCATAAATCGCGGACTCAGCTTGTTCTCTGCTATGGATCTGTTAGGACCCCTCAACATAGCCATCTTGAGATAAACTCTATCTCCAACCTGAAACTCAAGCTCTCGTCTGCGTCTATCTGCATAACTCTTCTGCCTATCCTGAGCCTCCTTCATGTTCAGCCTCACAACACGAACCTTCTCTGTCGTCTCCTGAACATAAGTAGCTCCATACATGCTGCGCTCCCCCACTTGGGTCCAGCATAGGGGTGTCCTACATGGCCTCCCATACAAAGCCTCGAATGGAGCCATGCCAATACTCGCCTGAAAGCTGTTGTTGTATGCAAACTCAACTAAGCTTAGGTGATCTGCCCAATGGCCACCCCAATCCAACACACACATCCTCAGCAAATCCTCCAAAGTCTGAATAGTCCTCTCTGACTGACCATCTGTCTGCGGATGATAAGCTGTACTCAGATGCACCTTAGTGCCCATCTCTGCCTGAAACGCCCTCCAAAACTCTGAAGTGAATCTGGGATCACGGTCTGACACAATACTAGCTGGCACTCCATGCAGCCTCACAATCTCTCGCACAAACTTCCTAGCCAAGACAGCAGCTCCATCTGTCTTCTTGATGGCCAAGAAATGTGCAGACTTAGTCAACCGATCCACAATCACCCAGATAGCATCGAAAGTCCTTGAAACAGGTAGTCCAACCACGAAATCCATCGTAATCCTATCCCACTTCCACTCGGGAATGGGTAAACTCTGCAAAAGACCACCCGGAACCTGATGCTCTGCCTTCACCAAGGCACAAGTGTTGCACTTCGCAACCCAGTCTGCTACATCCCTCTTCATCCCGACCCAATGATAGTACCTCTTGAGGTCATGGTACATCTTGGTCGCTCCTGGATGAATGGAAAACTTGCTCGCGTGAGCCTCTCCCAAAATCTGATGTCTCAACTCCACATCCTTAGGCACACAAACTCGCCCACGAACCAAGATAGTCCCATTCGCAGAGACCTCATACTCAGAACCAGTCACTCTAGTCGCATCCAGCAAACTCTGATCACTCTGCTGAGCAACTCTGATCCTGCTAAGTAGATCCGCCTGATCCACTGCCTCCAAACCCAAAGGCTCCTGCGAAATGGCACACAAACGCAAGGTACTGATCTCGCCAACTAGAGACTCCACATCTCGCTCAACTGCGGAATCATACCTCCGTCTACTCAACGCGTCCGCCACTAGGTTAGCCTTGCCCGGATGGTAGTTAATGCTCACCTGATAATCCGCCAAGAACTCAACCAGCGCGTCTGTCTCGCGTTCATCATCGGCTGAGTGAAGATATGCTGCAAACTCTTGTGATCCGTGAAGACCTGTACTGTCTCACCTAGCAAGTAAGACCTCCAAATCTTCAACGCGAAGATCACTGCTCCCAACTCTAAGTCATGTGTAGGACGGTTACGCTCACTGCCCTGCCACTGTCTCGAAGCATATGCTATCACTCTGCCCTCCTGCATCAGCACACAACCAAGACCAATGCCTGAAGCATCTGTATACACCATGTAAGGCTTCCCTGGCTCGGGTAACGCCAACACTGGTGTAGTAGTCAACATCTCCTTGAGCTGACTAAAGCTCTCCTCACACTCAGCTGACCAAACAAAAGGGACATCCTTCCCGGTCAACTTCGTCATCGGCTGCGCCATGGTAGCAAACCCCTTGACGAACCTCCTGTAGTATCCTGCCAAACCCAGAAAACTCCTGATCTCGGTGGCACTACTAGGTCTAGGCCAATCTCTGATAGCCTCAATCTTAGCCGGATCCACAGAAACTCCCTCTGCAGAAACAATGTGGCCAAGAAATCCCATCTCTCGCTGCCAGAAACTGCACTTGCTCAACTTAGCGAAAAGCTTCTGCTCCCGAAGTTTCTCCAGAACCAACCTCAAGTGAGTCGCATGCTCCTCCTGACTCCTCGAGTATACCAGAATATCATCAATGAAAATGATGACGAACACATCCAAATACTCCCTGAACACGTCGTTCATCAATCTCATGAAGGCTGCCGGCGCGTTAGTCAAACCGAAAGGCATAACCACAAACTCAAAATGCCCATAACGCGTCCTGAAAGCAGTCTTCCTGACATCTGCCTCATCTATCGGGATCTGATGATACCCCGATGCCAAGTCAATCTTGGAGAACCAAGTAGCACCCCTCAACTGATCCAGTAACTCATCAATCCTCGGGAGTGGGTACCTGTTCTTCACAGTGACTCGGTTAAGACCTCTGTAATCAATACAAAGTCTGAAACTGCCATCCTTCTTCTTCACAAACAACACCGGTGCTCCCCACGGTGAAACACTTGGTCGAATGAACCCCTTAGACAAAAGGTCCTCTATCTGCTTCTTCAGCTCTGCCAACTCAGCTGGCGCCATCCTGTAAGGCGTCTTCGATATTGGTGCTGTCCCCGGCTCTAACTCAATCGTGAAAGGATCAGACCGAGATGGTGGTAATCCCTTCAGTGACTGAAAGACATCCTCAAAATCCTGGACAACCTCAATATCTCCCATAACAACTCCAGCTCCTGACTCAGACATAGAAATCGTCGCCAGATACGCCTCACAGCCCCGCACTAACAACTGCTCGGCCTGAATAGCAGATATCACAATACTCCCGGAAGTCGGTCTCACTCCCTGATAAACCAACCTCCCTGCATCTCGCTCGAAGACCACTCTACCTCTGTAGCAATCCAGATGAACTCTGTAGTGTGACAACCAGTCCATCCCGAGAATAACGTCATACAGCTCCACCGGACTGATGACTAAGTCTGCTGGCATTGACTGCCCCGCAATCTCGATCTCGACTCCTCTAGCACGGCCCAAAGTAGACAAGAATCCACCTCCCGCCACCTTGACCATGCCCGCGCTCTCGCCCGCGCTACTCCGGATGCCACTCTTCTCGGCACGCTCCGGTGTAATGAAGCAATTCGATGCTCCAGAGTCGAATAAAACGTGGGACTCAAAACCGCCCACTAACAAGGTCATTACGAAACACATGCGTTGAGAACCTCAAAATTTATCACAGATAAATGAACAACACGCAGCAAAAACAACCGTTATGCCCTCGATGGCCCGCCACCACAAATGTGCATCTCCACTCAGATAGTGGACTGCCAACTCAACCTGGTACTAAACCAGAAATCTGATAGACTGGAAATTCCGCTCCAATCTCTGACGCCACTCATCTGCCGCCTCTGGGCTAACTCCGCCCTCAAAGTACGGCATACCAATCCTCTGCATGTGCCCCAACATATCCAAGTAGGACGGCACCATCAAACCCACAGCTACGGCTGAACAAATCCCGCAGCCCTCTGCTGCACCTCTGCCACTGGAGGTACTCCCGGAGCCCCTTGTGGAACCACTGGCGGAAAACGAGCCAATAACTGCGTCAGCAAACCCACCACTAAGTCATCAAGACCCTGAGCCAGAGCACCACCCCAACCCGGAGCAGCCTCCGCTCCCAAACCAACCCTCGCATCCACACTGGCCTCACTCGCCACGGATACCGACTGGGTCACCGACGCAATCGCCACACTACGGCACCACACTCTCTCCCGAATCCGCCGGAAGTCCACAATCTCGGCCCCGACCTCCACGGCCTCAAGCTCCGTGCCCTCTCGCGCCACACCTCTAGCTACTCACTCCATCTCACTCATGGAACCGAAAAGAGCACACTAGAACACGCAACCAAAACTCAAAACAAACATAAACTCACCGCGGAATCTCTTGTAGCTGAAGGGGATGATACTAAGCCTAGCAATTCTAACAGTCCTAAAACCGTCTAGGCTCTGATACCAAAATGAAACAACCAACATTTTTTTTTTTTTAATAAATATTAATCAATTCTAGCGAAGGTCTTAAAAATAAATTAAATAAATAAAATATCAATAACAAATAAATCAGCTCAGCGGAAGCAAATAATAATTAAACAAGTCTAGCAAAATAATGCAAAACAATAAAACAGTAAACATCCTATCATCCCCCTCTTCAGCCTTGATTCCGCGATCACACAAATCTTTTACCTGCAACACATTGGAATGGAGTTGCGTAAGTATTTAATAAATACTTAGTGAGGCAATCACTCTGCCTACGAGCCATTTACGCAATTTACTAGATATTTAATAATATTTATAAACTTCAATAATTATTAAATACCATTTTCCAATTATTAAATAATTTTAATAATTAAAACTCAATTTCTCAATTATTAAATAATTCTCATAATTAAATAATAATTTTCCATATTTTAAAATAATTAAAATAATACCAATTAATTAAATAAATATTATTTAATTAATTAAATTAAATCTATTTAATTCCATTAAACCAATTAAATTCAATTAAACCAATTAAATTCAATTGAACCAAGATAAACCAGAATCAAATCAATTAAATTCAATTAAACCAATAAACCAGATTAAACACACAAACACACAATTCATCACATGAACAACCAAAATATCATAAAAATAACAATTAAAAACATAAACTCATCAAGAACAACCACAAACCAAATCTAATCTAGCAAATCACGGACCCACAGTCATGCACTCACCTTGACAATTGACTGAAACTGAAGGAAAAAGGAAGGACGATGAACAGTGCCGAATCGCGGATGAACAGTAACCCGTGAACAGTACCGATGAACAGTAACCCGTGAACAATACCGATGAACAGTAAAATTCGAAAATCTCTCCAAAAACTCAACTTTTCTCCTCTACAGCATCTGAACTCGAAAATTCTCCAAAGAGAAGACGGCTGCACTCTTTAAACTTGATTTTAGGGCTTTCTCCACTAAACCGACCCAAACCAATTCACTTAAATTGAACCGACAAAATTCCCAATTTTTATTTTTGGTTTATGGATGTTACAACTCTTCCCCACTAAACTGGATTCGTCCTCGAATCCCAACGCAAACGTCACAAAGACCACAAAACCCAACCTCGCAAGGCGCAACACCGGAGATCCTCACTTGATCCCCGAGACAAACGTCATATCTTATGTCATAAACACGTTCCAAGAAAATTTCACTCCTAACTCATCATCCAAACACACCAAACAACTTGTACTGAGGCCCACTTGCACCCAGACAAGTCCACACCGGTCCGCACTGAGGCCCACTTGCACCCAGACGAACCCGAAAACGTCCATACTGAGGCCCACTTGCACCCAGATGAACTAAACTACTTATACTGAGGCCTACTTGCACCCATATAAGCTACACTCAACTGAGGCCTACTTGCACCCAGAGAGTCTGCCAGAGAACGAAGTCTCCAAAAACATGATGAGTTATTCAGGATCGCAATCCTTAGAGTAAAAATTCCGGAAAATGTCTATAACCATAAGATTAGACCGTCTCACAACCAAAAACTGGTCAAACATGTGTAACATCCGAATACCTTTTCACAACACAAGGCAAAATGAGGAAAAATGCATCTCATTAAAACTCCAAAATGTAAATCGTTACAACGAAAACGAAAATACAATAACACCAAAGCCAAAAATAACAACTGAGGCTACAAAGATGAAATAAGCTCACTCCTCGACCTGCTTGTCGAACCACTTCCTGAACTTCAACTTCATCTTTGCCTCTGGCTCCCAAGTCTCCTCTGTAGAACCACTGCAATCCCACAAAATCCTAGTAAGGGAATCCTCTTGTTCCTCAGAACCTTTTCCCTCCTCTCTAAAATCCTCATAGGCACTGCCGGCACGGTCAAATCTGGCTGAAGATCCTCTGGAATCCTAGCCACTAACTCCTCTGTAGGATGAAGACACTTCCTCAGCATCGACACATGAAAAACCTTGTGAAAGGCTTTCATAATCTCAGGCAACTCCAGCCTGTAAGCTAATGGCCCAACTCGCTCCACTACTGGAAACGGACCCATAAATCGCGGACTCAGCTTGTTCTCTGCTATGGATCTGTTAGGACCCCTCAACATAGCCATCTTGAGATAAACTCTATCTCCAACCTGAAACTCAAGCTCTCGTCTGCGTCTATCTGCATAACTCTTCTGCCTATCCTGAGCCTCCTTCATGTTCAGCCTCACAACACGAACCTTCTCTGTCGTCTCCTGAACATAAGTAGCTCCATACATGCTGCGCTCCCCCACTTGGGTCCAGCATAGGGGTGTCCTACATGGCCTCCCATACAAAGCCTCGAATGGAGCCATGCCAATACTCGCCTGAAAGCTGTTGTTGTATGCAAACTCAACTAAGCTTAGGTGATCTGCCCAATGGCCACCCCAATCCAACACACACATCCTCAGCAAATCCTCCAAAGTCTGAATAGTCCTCTCTGACTGACCATCTGTCTGCGGATGATAAGCTGTACTCAGATGCACCTTAGTGCCCATCTCTGCCTGAAACGCCCTCCAAAACTCTGAAGTGAATCTGGGATCACGGTCTGACACAATACTAGCTGGCACTCCATGCAGCCTCACAATCTCTCGCACAAACTTCCTAGCCAAGACAGCAGCTCCATCTGTCTTCTTGATGGCCAAGAAATGTGCAGACTTAGTCAACCGATCCACAATCACCCAGATAGCATCGAAAGTCCTTGAAACAGGTAGTCCAACCACGAAATCCATCGTAATCCTATCCCACTTCCACTCGGGAATGGGTAAACTCTGCAAAAGACCACCCGGAACCTGATGCTCTGCCTTCACCAAGGCACAAGTGTTGCACTTCGCAACCCAGTCTGCTACATCCCTCTTCATCCCGACCCAATGATAGTACCTCTTGAGGTCATGGTACATCTTGGTCGCACCTGGATGAATGGAAAACTTGCTCGCATGAGCCTCTCCCAAAATCTGATGTCTCAACTCCACATCCTTAGGCACACAAACTCGCCCACGAACCAAGATAGTCCCATTCGCAGAGACCTCATACTCAGAACCAGTCACTCTAGTCGCATCCAGCAAACTCTGATCACTCTGCTGAGCAACTCTGATCCTGCTAAGTAGATCCGCCTGATCCACTGCCTCTAAACCCAAAGGCTCCTGCGAAATGGCACACAAACGCAAGGTACTGATCTCGCCAACCAGAGACTCCACATCTCGCTCAACTGCGGAATCATACCTCCGTCTACTCAACGCGTCCGCCACTAGGTTAGCCTTGCCCGGATGGTAGTTAATGCTCACCTGATAATCCGCCAAGAACTCAATCCAGCGCGTCTGTCTCGCGTTCATCATCGGCTGAGTGAAGATATGCTGCAAACTCTTGTGATCCGTGAAGACCTGTACTGTCTCACCTAGCAAGTAAGACCTCCAAATCTTCAACGCGAAGATCACTGCTCCCAACTCTAAGTCATGTGTAGGACGGTTACGCTCACTGCCCTGCCACTGTCTCGAAGCATATGCTATCACTCTGCCCTCCTGCATCAGCACACAACCAAGACCAATGCCTGAAGCATCTGTATACACCATGTAAGGCTTCCCTGGCTCGGGTAACGCCAACACTGGTGTAGTAGTCAACATCTCCTTGAGCTGACTAAAGCTCTCCTCACACTCAGCTGACCAAATAAAAGGGACATCCTTCCCGGTCAACTTCGTCATCGGCTGCGCCATGGTAGCAAACCCCTTGACGAACCTCCTGTAGTATCCTGCCAAACCCAGAAAACTCCTGATCTCGGTGGCACTACTAGGTCTAGGCCAATCTCTGATAGCCTCAATCTTAGCCGGATCCACAGAAACTCCCTCTGCAGAAACAATGTGGCCAAGAAATCCCATCTCTCGCTGCCAGAAACTGCACTTGCTCAACTTAGCGAAAAGCTTCTGCTCCCGAAGTTTCTCCAGAACCAACCTCAAGTGAGTCGCATGCTCCTCCTGACTCCTCGAGTATACCAGAATATCATCAATGAAAATGATGACGAACACATCCAAATACTCCCTGAACACGTCGTTCATCAATCTCATGAAGGCTGCCGGCGCGTTAGTCAAACCGAAAGGCATAACCACAAACTCAAAATGCCCATAACGCGTCCTGAAAGCAGTCTTCCTGACATCTGCCTCATCTATCGGGATCTGATGATACCCCGATGCCAAGTCAATCTTGGAGAACCAAGTAGCACCCCTCAACTGATCCAGTAACTCATCAATCCTCGGGAGTGGGTACCTGTTCTTCACAGTGACTCGGTTAAGACCTCTGTAATCAATACAAAGTCTGAAACTGCCATCCTTCTTCTTCACAAACAACACCGGTGCTCCCCACGGTGAAACACTTGGTCGAATGAACCCCTTAGACAAAAGGTCCTCTATCTGCTTCTTCAGCTCTGCCAACTCAGCTGGCGCCATCCTGTAAGGCGTCTTCGATATTGGTGCTGTCCCCGGCTCTAACTCAATCGTGAAAGGATCAGACCGAGATGGTGGTAATCCCTTCAGTGACTGAAAGACATCCTCAAAATCCTGGACAACCTCAATATCTCCCATAACAACTCCAGCTCCTGACTCAGACATAGAAATCGTCGCCAGATACGCCTCACAGCCCCGCTCTAACAACTGCTCGGCCTGAATAGCAGATATCACAATACTCCCGGAAGTCGGTCTCACTCCCTGATAAACCAACCTCCCTGCATCTCGCTCGAAGACCACTCTACCTCTGTAGCAATCCAGATGAACTCTGTAGTGTGACAACCAGTCCATCCCGAGAATAACGTCATACAGCTCCACCGGACTGATGACTAAGTCTGCTGGCATTGACTGCCCCGCAATCTCGATCTCGACTCCTCTAGCACGGCCCAAAGTAGACAAGAATCCACCTCCCGCCACCTTGACCATGCCCGCGCTCTCGCCCGCGCTACTCCGGATGCCACTCTTCTCGGCACGCTCCGGTGTAATGAAGCAATTCGATGCTCCAGAGTCGAATAAAACGTGGGACTCAAAACCGCCCACTAACAAGGTCATTACGAAACACATGCGCTGAGAACCTCAAAATTTATCACAGATAAATGAACAACACAGCAAACAACAACCATTATGCCCTCGATGGCCCGCCACCACAAATGTGCATCTCCACTCAGATAGTGGACTGCCAACTCAACCTGGTACTAAACCAGAAATCTGATAGACTGGAAATTCCGCTCCAATCTCTGACGCCACTCATCTGCCGCCTCTGGGCTAACTCCGCCCTCAAAGTACGGCATACCAATCCTCTGCATGTGCCCCAACATATCCAAGTAGGACGGCACCATCAAACCCACAGCCTACGGCTGAACAAATCCCGCAGCCCTCTGCTGCACCTCTGCCACTGGAGGTACTCCCGGAGCCCCTTGTGGAACCACTGGCGGAAAACGAGCCAATAACTGCGTCAGCAAACCCACCACTAAGTCATCAAGACCCTGAGCCAGAGCACCACCCCAACCCGGAGCAGCCTCCGCTCCCAAACCAACCCTCGCATCCACACTGGCCTCACTCGCCACGGATACCGACTGGGTCACCGACGCAATCGCCACACTCGGCACCACACTCTCTCCCGAATCCGCCGAAGTCCACAATCTCGGCCCCGACCTCCACGGCCTCAAGCACCGCGCCCTCTCGCGCCACAACCTCTAGCTACTCAGTCCATCTCACTCATGGAACCGAAAAGAGCACACTAGAACACGCAACCAAAACTCAAAACAAACATAAACTCACCGCGGAATCTCTTGTAGCTGAAGGGGATGATACTAAGCCTAGCAATTCTAACAGTCCTAAAACCGTCTAGGCTCTGATACCAAAATGAAACAACCAACATTTTTTTTTTTTTAATAAATATTAATCAGTTCTAGCGAAGGTCTTAAAAATAAATTAAATAAATAAAATATCAATAACAAATAAATCAGCTCAGCGGAAGCAAATAATAATTAAACAAGTCTAGCAAAATAATGCAAAACAATAAAACAGTAAACATCCTATCATCCCCCTCTTCAGCCTTGATTCCGCGATCACACAAATCTTTTACCTGCAACACATTGGAATGGAGTTGCGTAAGTATTTAATAAATACTTAGTGAGGCAATCACTCTGCCTACGAGCCATTTACGCAATTTACTAGATATTTAATAATATTTATAAACTTCAATAATTATTAAATACCATTTTCCAATTATTAAATAATTTTTAATAATTAAAACTCAATTTCTCAATTATTAAATAATTCTCATAATTAAATAATAATTTTCCATATTTTAAAATAATTAAAATAATACCAATTAATTAAATAAATATTATTTAATTAATTAAAAATTAAATCTATTTAATTCCATTAAACCAATTAAATTCAATTAAACCAATTAAATTCAATTGAACCAAGATAAACCAGAATCAAATCAATTAAATTCAATTAAACCAATAAACCAGATTAAACCACACAAACACACAATTCATCACATAAACAACCAAAATATCATAAAAATAACAATTAAAAACATAAACTCATCAAGAACAACCACAAACCAAATCTAATCTAGCAAATCACGGACCCACAGTCATGCACTCACCTTGACAATTGACTGAAACTGAAGGAAAAAGTGAAGGACGATGAACAGTGCCGAATCGCGGATGAACAGTAACCCGATGAACAGTACCGATGAACAGTAAAATGAAAATCTCTCCAAAAACTCACTTTTCTCCTCTACAGCATCTGAACTCGAAAATTCTCCAAAGAGAAGACGGCTGCACTCTTTAAACTTGATTTTAGGGCTTTCTCCACTAAACCGACCCAAACCAATTCACTTAAATTGAACCGACAAAATTCCCAATTTTTATTTTTGGTTTATGAATGTTACAAAGTAAGTACTATTTTCGTTTACTATTTATGTTCAGTCTCATAGATAAACAAAACCAAAATTTAAAAGAATCAAAATTAATTAGTGGCTGGGTCACATCTATGATCTACCCATTATTTTAAAATACTAAAAGTTGAATTAATTATTAGTTAATTAAAACGTAATCAGAACCTGACATGAGAACAAGCACCCACCACTAGAGTATCAGAGTGCGTGACACGTGTCGACTTCCGAACTAATATTCAAACTCATAAAATGACATTTTTTTTCCACCACTACTAGTCTACGACACATATCGAAAATCATTTTAATATAATATTCATTTTTTTCAGAATTTGATATAATAATTAATTGCTATTATTATTTATTACTGCTATTCTTCCTTTATTTAATAAATTACACTTTATACATACTCCATCTGTTCCTTATTATTTGATGTTTTAGAGTTTTTACATAGATTAAAAAACACTTAATGCTTAACTTTTGATGTATTACTTTTTCATTTTAAATAACTATTAACCAATCAAAATTATAGAATTCTCTTGAAGTTTGCATTTTTGTAACATTTATTATCAAAAAGTATATTTAATAGTCTAAAACATCAAATAATAAAGAACAACAAAATCTAAAACATCAAATATTAAAATACAACTAGACCAATGATACTATATTTATATAGTGAATTATATATCTATACATATAAATATACATAGATATTTATATATATATATATATACATTTATTGTATTCGTGATATACACTTTATAAAATATAAGCAAGTTGTGGGCAAAAGGAGGTGCCCTCGGAGAGGATGCGCACCAAAGATTTCTACTCAAGAAATTGTTAAATTACTACAATCACAATTCACACACAAAAATTAATAATCAGAACAAATATTTGAAAAGAAGAGAAAGAAAAAGGCCAAGACTGTCTGGCTCCACTGGGAGCCTATGCGCTAAAAAGATCAAGTGCTATGCGAAGATGTGAAATACTACATAAGTATTATTTTGCATAAATATATGTACATGCGTATTCAATATTCTCTGAAGATAATTAGATGCTCTTTTTCTTTATATTATCTGCAACCGAAAATATATTAACGTATAAAGCCAACAGCGATCACGGTTGCTCTTAACAAATATTGTATGATACTAATTATAATCATAAAGTAGCCTCCGTGTGTGTATCGGTGTATATTTTAGCAAAAAGTGTGTATCGGTGTATATATAATTAATGTAATGAAACAAGGTGAATAATTCTTTTGTCAAAAGTCTTCGATATATGAATACGAATATGCTATATACTAAAATAATTAATTATAACTAGGTAAATGAAATAGTAAAATTTGATATTAATATCTCGTTTTGAGGATTCGGGGGTAGGATACAATATCATTAATATATCTGGAAATACGAATGAAGTTTGCCTTCTTTTAAAAAAAAGATACGAATGAAGTTGAAAGTGAAAGGACCAGTCTCTTTCACAAAGATTTTCCTAAACGAAAAAGAAACAATTTATAATTAATAGCATTTCACTAACCATATTTTATTCAAGCTTACATGTTGTGCAGACGATTCCATTTTTTTTAAATAGGGGTTCAATTTAGTCCCTCACTCCCTTGAACAGTGAAAGGGGATGTACAGATTTGGATTTACGTACGGTGAAACAATAGAACAATCTAAACCTATATGTTTATGACTGCATAAGTTTCTTAACATATCAAAGTATTTGTACGCTAGGGTTTAGTGTAGAACAATTTAAACCACGAATGTTTAGTGTAGCGATACTTAAGCATCTAGAGGTTTAAATTCTGATGTCTACACATGTTTATTAGTTTATAGTAAATAATCAAATTGTGGAAAATAAAATGTCTATTATTTATTATTATTTTTGCTAAACAACCTCAAGTAAATAAGCTAGTTTAACTATAGTTGCGAGTTGCGACGAACGAAAACATATAAAAAAGTCCGCCATCTTCTAATATTCAAATAAAATCTAGTCCATATTCGGATTCTTGCATTCGTGCAAAGTTAAAAGCAAGTGGGTTAAATAACTAAGAATTGACATAACATTAATTAATTTGAATTATATACGAAATAAAAGAATCCGAATTTTATACCGGGGAACTTTCCACGTGAGAGAATTAAGATGACAAGTATCGTGTTCTGGTTATCATTTTATGCCACAAGTAAATCTCCTTTTCGCAGTTATCTTAGTTCTCAATCTTCTTAGACATTATGATATAATATGGACAGTATTTGCTAACGGAATAATTCTTAAGGGATAACAGAAAAGAAAACAATTCTCAATGCTCGTAAACGCAACGCGACATGTCTAGACAAAATAATTCTTCGATTAGTTTATTCTGTATATAGCTTTGACCTGAGTATTATAGCCCTGAGAAACAAAGCTAGTTTTTTTCTTAGAAAAATGACTGCAATCTCCATTGATAAGACAACATGGAATTGCATACATTATAATTGTGAAATAAATTTGCAAAAGAAAAAAAAAACGCCAATTCAGTGAATTTGAAAAGGCCAGTTGGAATAACTTGAAGATCAAAAGCTAT